GAGATAGTGAGGCAGAATAGAGAACCGCACCTACTCTCACTAAAATAAAAAACCGTAAAAAAGGTTTTGATCAAAAAGGACTCAGTCTACAATCAAGTTTCAACGAAAAATCGTCCTACCGACTCGAGGTGCTCAATTTTTGTTTCGACTTTCAAAGTCGAGGACAAACCAACGCCCCATCAATAGTCAAGACAGGATTTGGATCGAGCATGAACCCAAAACATACTGCGAGTACGGTCGAAACTTATCAATTTTCAGTCGAGCACGGTTGAGACACACTGGGAGCACATTGAAAACACGGCAAGTTTTAATCGAGCACGATCGAAACAAACCTCTAAAATGGCCAAATCATAATTCGATCATGTAAATCATATTATGTCGAAACATATGTCAAGAACGGTCAATTTTTTTTCGATTATCAAGCCTTTGCTTATATTATAAAGCAAACCGAAAGCTAGAAAATCCATACGATAACAACAATCAGCTCAAAAATATAGCATGTCCTCCAGAAGTTTTTAGGCTTTAAATAACTTAAAAGATTACGAAAGAGCCACGATCGTGATATCAGAATACGATCGGTGCGAGCAGCAACAAAAAGCAGACAAAGATTTTCTTACTGAGCAGTTTCAAGCGAGCCCAACAACTATGATATCAAGAGAAACCGAAGAAGGGGACGCTTGAAATTGTCAATAAAAAAGTTACAAAGTCGAAATTAATAAAGCCGATACCTCAACTAAAATAGAAGACATTGGAAACGCCTTCCAGCAACAAGAACTCTCGCCGCCGAGGATTTGCTAGGAACTGGCGGACCAATTTTTAACCAAGAGGATCCAGAAGATAGCGGAAATAATAAAAAAAGAAGATTCAACCCTTTGAAAAAGGAGATGGAATGTTCGACCCTCAACCAGGGTGCTCAGAAGATTCAAGTCAGGAGTGCACAGGCTTGAGATATAGCTCCACGTAAACGAAGCACGAAGTACAGGCACGATTCTCAAACCCAGTAAACACTCAGTGAAAAAAATATCAACTGGCGAAGAATCTGGGTGATGCCTAGCGAAAGCCGCATTGGAAGCTTAAAGAGAGAGGTTTTCAAACATCGAAAACAGGGCAGATATGCCGCTTTAAACACTCGTTTTCCGACGAAAGTTCAGATCTGCATCATTAGATCCAGAAAAACCACGAAAATCAAGCTCAGAATTCGGCTGGGGTAGGATTAAAATATAGAAGACCAAAACGTTCACTAAAACTGATGCCGAGTACAAAATTTTTTTTGCTATTTTTAGAAAATTGTTTTCTGTATGTTTAAAAAACTTTCCATCCTAGCAGGGAATAAGATACTGCTCAAGCAGTAATTTGGGATGTATGCATAATGAAATGCAATTGTTTATCACGTACAATATATTATAACAAGGTCACTGAAGACTGTATTATTTATGCAGCTGTAATATTAATTCTGCGATTTGCAAGAGTGATGAATTAGCTTAGAATGGAGAAAAAGATTCAAAACAAAAACTTATTGTTTCTGAGCAACATCGTTTTACACTTTGAGATTTCCTCAGGTTCTCACAACTATAATGTTCTAATTTGGATAAATTATGATAACTGAAAACTAAAAGGTATTCGAAATCAGTCGACATTACGAGGCCAAACTGTGCACTGGATAGGCGCACAATTTTGGGTCTGTTTGTTCTTCGATTCCAGAAATAAGTTTTTAAACATGTTCCAAAATATAAATGTATTCAACTTACAAAAATTCCGTGTCTTCCGCGTACAAATACTTGTAAATTAATTTTTATCAGCATATTTGTTGTGTCGCGGATTCTGCAACCAGTAAAAATAGCTAATTGTTTTTGATTCCGCAACTGTAAGTGGATTCCAAAAAATTTAAATAAAATCAGCAATTGTAAATAGAATCCGCAAAACTTGTAGGCAAAATCCACAAATGTAAGCGGATTCCGCAATTTGTAAGTGAATTCCCTTATTTTTTTTATTATTGAACTTGTTTATGAATTAAAAGCTAGAGCTGGATTTCTTATCTGCAGCAAAGCGGAATTTAAAATCACAGATTTGACCATTGTCAGCGGATGTCACTCTTTAGTATTGGGGATACAAAATTTGGATTTAATGATTTGAGAGTGTTTGGAAACACAATGCACAGCATTTTGTCGAATTTGGTCAGTTTTTGAGATTCCACTAATTTCAATAACTGATCTAATTGGAGAGTGAATTCAAATGATGAGAGCAGTGTTTGAGATGAGTCGAATGAAAAATCAAATCATGAGGGCAGTATTTTAGATGATATGCAAGCACACCCAGTGTACACCCTGGTTACTACTGCGATAGAGTGGTCCCTCGAAAAAAACTATGATAAACAATTGCCGCATGCTTATAGCATGTAGCAATTTGAAAACTAGTTTATTTATAAGTTATAACTTTCAACAATCTCGCGAAATATGTTAAGTCAGAAACTTTTCAGATTAAAAATTGTAAAAGTTATATTGTACATATCAAGAAATATAAACGCTTCAATTATTTTACAACTACCTTGTTGACGATCACCTAGTAAATAGAAGATATTGATTATGTTGTTACTACATATATACATATATGAAAATGGAATCCGCAAACAAAATGCGGATTTCACTTTCAACTTGCGGATTCCGCTTACAATTTGTGGATTCTACAAACTGTTCGGAATTTTGCAAATAAGGTTGCGGATTCCGCAAATTCGCCTATGTTTGGAGCAATTTTGAGCGGTACAGTTTTTTAGGTGTTTGTTTGTGGAATCCAAAAATTTTGGCCGGTTGGGGAATCCACTTACAATGCACAGAATGCACAGTTTGGTCTCGTAATGGAGACGGTCGAAACATATCTTTCTTGGGTCGAGAACGGTCCAGCTCGAGAACGGTCCAGGCCGAGCACGATTGAAACATACCCACACTCGGTGTAGACGGTCAAAACATACCGAATTTTGGTCGAGACGGTCGAAACATACAATGAGCACCTCGACCCGGGCTTCTTCCATGTGCGCTAAATTTCTCTTTTTTTTGTATCCTTTCTTTCGTTTTTGAAAGATGCTTTCTTTCGACCAAAATGGTTTCTTATTACGATCAATTGATTTAGTCGCCCTGTAATGCTTTGTTCGAGAATCAAAATTTAAATTTGAATTCATATGCGTGAGAGGTATTACGAGAGGGAGCTGACGCAATAACGTCAGTTTTTTTAAAAACATTTGCTGCTCGAAAATTTTTGTGACAATTGTTTTGGGCTCAAACAGCTTCTAACTAAGTAGGTTTGGCTAGGTACTGCTTAGCTAATTGACAAATGCATTTTTTAATTGACATATGCATTGACAAGTTCTCGACAAGCATTTATCAATCGAAAGTCTATAATCTGGATGGGTCTTATGGTAACGAACAACACCAAAAATATTGAGTTTCAATTATAATAGACTGAAATATAGTCGGGATTGTGTTTGAGTTAGTTGCGATTATTTGGAAATAAGGCGCCACATGTTATTTAAATTAGTCGCTCAGTGTCGCGTCGCGAAAGTCTGTAGATAATTGCTGCAGAAAGTTAATTGCTGCGAAAGTCTGCAGAAATTTAATCTGAAAACTTATAAAAAAGAGACAATACCAAGGTGCTTATGAATTCAATAAACAGACTCATCAGACATGTAAAAAATTAATTGCTTGACGCAAATTAATAAAACTTGGACACCGACGTTTCGCTTTAGTTGCGGCGCCGGTCGCGGTTAGATGCTTCGATTATGCCGGTTTTGTTGTTTTTTTCTTATTTGCGCCAATAAGTGTGTTATGAAACTAACTTAAGACTAACTTGTTCAAACTTTCAGACAAAAAAGGTCTGAAAATTGTCTAGAGTTTGATTATGGCTCGTTTTTTTTTCAAAGTACTTAGAGGAAGTTTACTTATGGTTTAATGGTTGATGAACTTTGTTCTACTAGGTACTTCTGTCTGACTGGCTACTGGGTGGAGGCAACGCAGTCTGACAGGGGGTTCGAAATAACAGACAAGGCGGATTTCGTCGAATTAGTGAGAGGAACTTACGAGAGAGTAAACTGGTTCTCATTCGAACAGAGAGAGCCAGGTTAGATTATTTTTCTTCACACCTATGGCCTTACTTTTTTATATGCTCAGAATCTTTATTAATTTAAGATGTTAAAAGTGTTAGTGCATTGTTAAGAATCGGTGAATCAGGCCCTGATCAGTGCAGTGCCACTTGCACGCTGCAAACACTCGTAAAATCAGTGATGAGTCAGCGATTAGTCAGCGATGAAATATACTAGAATAACTCTGACTGTTCTCAGAACCAGGGGCGGATCTAGGATTTTCTCGAAGGGGGCGGGGGCGGATTTTCAAAAAATTTTCGAAATTATGTCGACCTTTTTTTTAGGTCGACCAAATTGGTTTTTTGATCTCTCCCAAAGCACTAAAAAGACCCTGTTTTGTCCGAAATTTTGAAAAAAAAGCAGGCAAAATTTAGAAAAAAAAACAGGTAAAAAAGGCGTTTTTAGGCACTTTTTGGAAAGTTTTTACCAAAAAATTGCGTTTTTTTTGGCGCGCGCTCTCCCCTTAAAAAAGTATATATTGGCGCCAAAGGCGCCGTTAGAAAAATTTTGGGATCCGTCAGCCAAAATTGGATATCTGAAAATAGTTCAAAGGGAGGACCCTTTGGGTCGGCAGTGGGTCGAATCCTTTAGGGGAAAAACGTCAAATCTCGAATCAATTCACTACAGAGAAAATTAAACTCTATTTTAAAACAAGCCTTGGTTTCCCAGGGCAGGGCGAGAATGTCAAAAAACAACAACAGAGGCTTGATGTTTTCATTCAATCGTAGCAAAAAACTGCATTAAATCTTCTATTTGGTTTTTGTTGTTCATTTTATGTCAACATTTGGCGCGATGCATAGTGGGTCTCGAACATACATCCTCTCGGTTAGGAGTTGGAGACCTTAGCCACTTCACCAAAACAGAATAATTTATTTGCAGGAGGCTGCTGTGAGTTCCAGTCTCAAGTTTATCTGCAACATGGCCAACCCAAAGGCCTCTCCCCTCTCCAGTATTTCGCAAAGACTACAGATTTCTCTTCACACAACAAAAAGCTCAACTTCATCGGAGTAAGTGTAAAAATAGGATATATATCTACTCCACGCAATGTATAAAGTTCCATCTATGACTCTCCTCCCCAAAACACACCCCTAAAACTGACTCGTTATGCACACTAACAAGCCTGAAACTTGAATAGCCCAGGAGTACCATATATTCAGGGTTGGATTAAGGGTGGCGGGCGGGGGTGGCGGACACCTTTTTTTTCGGGACTCGACCGCCTGCCGACCCAAAGAGTCCCCCTTTGTACTATTTTTAAATATCCATTTTGTGTGACGTACCCTAAAAATTTTTCTAAGTGCGCCTTCGGCGCCAATATACACTAATTTTGATTGGGGAAGTGCGTACCAAAAAAACGGGATTTTTTTTGGTCAAAATTTGCTAAAAATTGCCTAAAAACGCCGCCTTTTTTGGTCGATCTATAAATAAGTCGACAAAAATTTTGAATTTTTTTGGAAATTCGCCCCCCCCCCCCTTCGAGAAAATCCTAGATCCGCTCCTGCATATAGTGATGATGATTGACTAGATCTCAACATTGTGACAGAATAATTATGCTTCGGGTAATTTGTTGCGTGTTTTTTTTTTACTTTTAATTATCCGTTTTTGGCGCATTTTGTAAACCATCTGAAAACTTTTGATGCCACGGGATCAAAATTAAAAAGTATGTATGCCACCAGTGATAGTTTTTTTGCAAAGTTCGGAGTTTCAAAACTGCCAATAATTTCATTTTTCGCTAGTTGTTGAACTTTTTTCTGAACCACCATTTTATCTGTGCTTCAGGCTAATTTTTGAAAAATTTTGGAAATTTTTCACCAAAAAAAGCGTTTTTCTTCAGCGCGCGCTCCCCCTCAAATTTAGTATATATTGGCGCCAAAGGCGCCTTTAGAAATTTTTTAGGGTCCGCCACCAAAAATGGATATTTCAAAATAGTACTAAGGGGGGGGGGCCTTTGGGCCGGTAAGGGGTCGAATACCTGGGGCGGCACCCTTTTAATCCTCTACTTCTTATACAACTACTATAAAGTTTTCCATGAAACTTTTTTATAGTTGATTTTTTTTAAAGTTTATTTGAAAAGAACCTCATTATCACAATAGAATCATGATCAGACAATTCCCACAAAAAGAAGCTAATATAATCAAAGTGCATCCTACATCAAAACTACATCATGATAGATGGATAAAAAGCTACGTCTAAAAAATTATTATTAATCCAAAACTTTCAATTTTAAATGCTAAAAAAAAGAAATTAGAGAAAAAATTACAACTGAAATTGCTGAAATGCCACATTTACTTCCTTGTATAAGCCGAAAACTTCACATTGACAAAATTTGGCATTCAAAACTAAATCACAGATATTTAATTGAAAACCACTATGCCCAAACTTCATTGCGCAAAACAAACTGGTTCTTCCGACTTTCGAAGAAAACGGAACATTTATGATCGATTTGGTTTTTTTATTCAGTTAATTTTCGCCGATCAAAATAGCAGTTTTCTACAAAAACTTTTTATAAACCATTGAAGTTTGTATCTTTTTATCTAATACCTGAGTTCAAATATAAAAAGATTTTTTAGCTCCAATTTTTGTAGTAAAGTTCGGGGACTTGAAAGTTGCCAAAATGGCCATGTTCTTGACTAAATTATTTAAGCTTTGAACACTTTTATTGCTGAAAACGTAACTCGATTTTTTTATGCATGGCGAACTATCCCGCGCAACAAAACAGTTCCAAGTTGAACTGAGGCTAGCTAATCGGATTGGTCCGATTAATTTTGTACGACTCAAAATTTCACACTATGATATTTGTCCAAAGTTTATAGGTTTTTAATAGTTTTTTTCTCAAAGTCGATTCGATATGAACTAAGGCGCAGTCGGAATATTCAAGTCTTTGCCCTGATTTACGAGCAGTCGTTATTCAATTTTCGATTGCTATACGCACAATCGTTGAAAATCAAGGCGTGATACTTACAAGAGATTCCGAACGGAAAAGTCGAACGGAAACTAAGCCGTCAACAACTGAGGCAAAGAACTTTTTGGAACGGAACTTTATGAAGCGATTCAGCTGTTCACTAAGCAGGCAGCTATGCAAAAAAAAGAGGTTTGAAATTCAAAAAAAATATCTTTTTGTTCCGACTTTCGAAAAAAACGGAATATTTATGCTCGGTTTGGTTTTTTTTTGTTCAGTCAATTTTCGCCGATCAAAATAATAGTTTTCGACAAAAAAAAATTAAAATTGAATATATTAACTCCCTGAGTTCAAATTTAAAAAGATAATTTACCTCCATTTTTTTGTAAAGTTCGGGGATTTGAAAATTGCCAAAATGGCTATGTTCTTGATTAAATTATTTGCGCTTCGAAAAATTTTATTGCTGAAAGCGTAACTCGAATTATTTATGCATGGCGAATTATCCCGCACAATAAAATCGTTCCAAATTGAATTGAGGCTAGCTAATTAGATTGTTCGTTTTGATTTCTTACGACTCAACATTTCATCCTTTGATATTGTTCAAAAAAATATATGTTTTCAATATTTTTCTCAAAGTCTATTCGATATGAACTAAGGGATAACCGGAACATTCAGGGCTTTGCCCTGATATACGAACAGTCTTTTTTTTCTACAGAATTGGTTTTCAGGCGGGATTGAAGCACCACTGACGATTAAATAAAACGAGGTTAATAGACGAAAAGCTAATTAGACGGCTGCAATAAAACCGATTTGAGATGTTAATTTTTTTTCGCAAAACTAGAACTATAAGTTGAAAGCAAAAAGCTAACAAAATTTATTGCTTAAAAGAAAACTTCACAAATACAAGAAGAGTATATAATCCCATTGCAGACAAAATTTTAATTTTAAGTGGTTTATAAAACATAAATCCTAATATTATGAACTAATTTTGAAATGCATAAATTATAAAATTCTCTCATTTCAAAAATACACAAACAATACTATTATGTCTTATTTCCCATAATTGTAGTTTAAAATTCATTTTTACTGGTCACGTCTATTTTGCTCGTCGTTCAATTTGCTAGAACACCCCAAAAAGAAAACATGAGGCTCTTTTCGGTTAATAATCCCCCCCCCCCCCCCCCGGTAAAAGGCTAAAGTTGAGAATTCAAATTTCGAGTTGAAATTGAACCCGAGTGAAACCAACAATTAAATACCCATCGCGTGCATTTAGCAGCTGCTCGATTAGTAAAACAAAAGTATATGGCAAATTTCTCACTAGGTTTCCTAATCGAGCGGCTGCTAATTGCACGCGAGTGGTATTTAATTGTTTGTTTCTTTCACTTTCGTGCTTTCAATTTCAATTCGAAATTTGAATTGCCAAATTTACCATTTTAGCGGGGAGGGGGGGGGGGGGTGTAACAGAAAATACCCATGATGCATTGCGTGTTATTTATCCCCAATTTTCCCAGCTTCACAACATATTCTATGTCTAATAAATACACTTATGTTTATTGCAACTAAAAAAAATTACAAGAAGTTATAAAATTGAAATCAATTTAAAATTTGTTCTGAGACTATTTCAAACAATGAACGTATTGACCAAACCTAGCCGCCGTATTTCAAACAAGCAGGTACTTAAGCAAAACCTAAGGTCCACAAAGAAAAGTAACTGAACAAAATCACAATATTCTTCATGAGGACACTGTTCTCACATTTCAAATTACGCAATATGAAAATTGATCGAAACATACACTCATTCCTCCTTTCGAAGTAGGAACCTAAAAATCAAAAAACTTCAAAATGAGCCAAAAATGTATAAACAGCGAAGGGAATGAAATAACCTAGAGCCTTAAAGATTTGTTGAAGGATGACAAAGTACAGGATGGAAGATAATTACAACCTACACGAATTCTAACTTAGTATGAACAGATATACAGGAATAAAACACAAGAAAATCAAACGATTAGCGAAAATGAAATATTGATAAAATTTAACAAAAATAACCGGTTAATGTGCAAGTAGCACAGATGGTTCCGAACAGTCTTAAAAAATTACGACAGAATTATTTTTCCAATTAGTGTCGTATTTTCGGCTGGGTGTGACAAAGAAATCTGAGCGAAAGAGAAGAGCTTAGGCATTTTTGTCAGTCATGTGAAATATGCAAATTGGAAAACAACTTTTGAAGATAAATAACAAGAAAAACAAAAACAAATAAACAAAAAATAAAATTTTTAAAAATAATTTTTCAAAAAGTGTTCCCCAAATTTTGAAATTTTTGATTTCTAAGATGAAGCTAAAAACTCCAAAAATCAACTTCATTAGAGTAAAATTAAACGCTTAAATTAAGCATAAATAAGCTAATGTAAGCCATCTCACTCGCTCGAAATTAGATGAAAAATCAAAAACTTCCAAACGGTTTTTCTCAACAACGGAATTCTTTTAAATTTTTTGAAAATCATTCGAATAACAGCTGAAGGGGCTTGAATATTATATATCCATCAACCCTGTCCGATGATTATTTGTGGTAGCTGATTTTGCGTGGAAAACAAAAAGAAAAAACTAAAACACATCCGAATACAAAATTCCTCCACATTTTTAATGGTCGGAACAATAAAAATTTATTAGTTGAAACTTTTGTTGAATTAACTAACTTTTTTCAGAACTTCCGGAATTGAAGAGAAAAAACAGCTTTTCAGCTCTAAGTATTCTGCTTTGAGTTTACAGTGTAGGATTGTGAGTAAGTGGGTCTGAGCATTGTTCACTCGCCATAATATCCATTTGTATCGATGGTAGGGTTCTAGGTGAGGGGTTCTTCCTGAAGACCAAGTAAAATTCAATTTAGCGAATAACGCTGACTTGTTTTTCGAGGGAAATAAAGGAATAAAAAAGTCCGAGGGTGACCAGATTTGATTGGTCGTCGAGAGACGTTCAATTGTAGGTCTCTCTGGCAAGATTTACGACTGTTACGTCAGGGGGCTCTTTAATACTAGTTTAACTACGAATATTTTAGCCAAAAACTTTGAGAATTCCACGTTCTTCATCGGTCTGGAAGCTCTCTTTGTCGCCCTTGGAGGCATATTGTTTGTTCTCTGGGGAGTGTTTGACAAAATCGCATCGTTTGATGATCCCTCGTTTCGTGTTAGACTCTGGGAATCCGAATAAGGAGAGAATCCGAATAAGGACTAAGCGAAGAGAATCCGAGATAAGGAACCGTGTCTGTATTCGTCAAGTCATTGAAATAATCTTCCATAATATCGTGCCAGGTATCTGAATCTAGCAAAAATGTTGATCCTGGCTAGATCGGCGAAGGTTGTTAAGTTGCGGCGAGTGCGTCATCGGCTGTTTTGAGCAGAGTTTTCGCTTTGAATGTCAATGTCTCTGCGATATTGGTCATCGGAGTGTTTCCACACTAACCTTTATTCGAGGGGACTCTTTTGTTACCCTAATGAATCAAAATTATTATATTCGGGCGATTAGCCGACTGTTTTTTTTTTACCTGCACACAAGTAGAGCCCGCTAGAAGTTATTCGTTGCAAGCCAAATTCAAATTTCTAAAGATTTGCTCATTTTATCATGTCACACTACGATCCGAAGTGCGATTATCTTTTGCTCAACTCTGTAAAAATAGCAAGTTTTCGTTTGACTGTTTTTGTTTGAAGTGGATATCTTGCTTCGTGTAGTGTTTATTAAGCAATATTGTTGCTACGCAAGCTTCGTTGTCAGAGTTTTTTTGATGGTCGTTAAAAAGTCGTTGATTTTTGATATGATTCCACATTTATATTCTGTACCGTTATGCAACTTCCAATTCTGTGCATTGTTTGTGTAGAATTGGCGATTCTACTGTATTACATGCTATAGTAACCTGAGCGTAAGATTGATTCGTCATTAAGTTAAGTAGTACAGCAAACAAAGGGTAAAGTTCAAAATAGTTCAATTTTTGAAGATATCGTCCCTCCTATTCCAGAAAATAACATTTGACAAAATTGGCGACCCCCCCCCCCCCAAATCGGAACTAAGAAAGCTAATGTTATGAAATTCAGAGGAGCGATACTAGAGATGATTTGACCCGGGCACACAAAAAACGCGACCCCTCAGACCCTTGGGGGCAAGTGATAACGGTCCCCGGAAGTGTAAATGGCCCTATCAGAACTCGGTAACAAGCGGTTGGAATAGACTCAAATTCTAGTATGTTTAGGCCTAGTTAAGGGGAGGTTAAGTTTGGAAACCCAGACCCCTCAGACCCCCACTTCCGGATTTATGCCCTAAGTAAACAAACCCACTCCTAACTTCCGGAAGTCGTGCCTCCAATGAACGCAGGGAGCTGAAACTTGGAGGGATGATAGGTAGTGGCAAGATACATCTTTTATCATAATTTGAACCAAATCCGGCGGTTGGACCGGAAGCTATTAGCTTTTAGAGAAACACCCCCTTAGACCGGAGATAGTCAATTTACGCAAAAAAATGACCGCAAATTTTATTAGGCAAATCGATTTTATTAGGCAAATCGATTTTATTGCGGCAATAGATATAAGATACGGATCCCGGTAAAAGACCCCTAGTGATTGGAACCCCTCCGGCAACTCCTTCCGGTGTTTATAGCCTTTTCCCTGAAAAAGTGATAATGGAACTTAGAAATGGGATAACTTGTGAAGTATTGATGGGATATGAATGAAACTTGGTAGTTAGTACCCCCATGGCATTCTAAACTCAAATATGGAAGTTTGACCCCGGTTGATCCCTGGGTGACCTTAAGTTGATCTTTTGGCTTTTGACCCCAAATTTGTATAGAAAACCTCGGGATTAACACCGGAAAGTGGCGTATTCCCCAGCCCAACCCCTGGAAATGAGAATAGGTCACCTTGCTAAAAATTGGGAGGGAAACTTATATATTGGGAACTAGAGAAGAAACTGTTAGAGATTTAGCTTTTACATTGCAACCTTGGAGTAGTAGAGTTAATTAAAAGTGGACTTGTAAACATTGGGTTCTGTTTAGCTGGGCGAGTGATCTATTAATAGCAATTCAATTAGGCTAAAGAAACGTAGTCCCGGAGCAATTTGATAGTAATTAGACCGCAGCATGAGAATTAAGTCTTCCAAAATTTATGAACGGACAGGGAATTTACTTGGCTTCCCGGAGGTGACTTTGTGGTTTAATGTGACCCCTAATAGACGAACTACTTTCCCCTGATAGCTAGAAGGTCGGGATTGGAGTAGAGTACAGATAGAAATTTCAGATGCCTGAAATTATTTAGCTACCCATTAAAAGGGTATCCCCCTACCCTTGGGAGGTCGGAACGTTAACGGGATAATTAAAATAAAGATCTTGGGAATAAAGGCTGAGTAAACATAGCATGAACAAAAGGATATTTTTCGCTCCTTGTAACAAATCAATTATGGCAAATAAGCTTCTTTCAACCAATTTGGAATGATTTCTAGGACGGATTAAATCTCGCTTACGCGTTAATAGCGCGAAATATATCGCGCGTTAATTGTCCAAATTGGCCAAAATGGCAATCTTTAAACCCCCGTTACTTTACGAAAAATAATCACAGGTGAAATATCTTTTCAAATTTGAGCTCAAGACAACAATACCTTTGGAATGATATAAAAAAGTTCCCTCAAAAATGGCTAGTTAAAAAGTCGATTTTTGTCTGAAGAAAAAAAAACCCACCCCGAGCACAAATATTCCGTTACTTACGGAACAATAAGAACTTTAACTTTTCTTCATTTTGCGAATGAGAACGTTCCTTATCCTTTACACTTCGTATACTTCCCCAATACTACGTGCTAAATGACGTACTTGCTAAGTCCATCAGAGCTCCCCAAAACTGTTCGAATCCGACTCCAAATCTTTCTGCTTTTTTCAGATGCGTGTATCTTTCAATTGTGCTATTGAAAGATTTGTAAAAAAATCGTGTCCAAAAGGCCCCAAAAGAAATTGCTATAATTTTAACCCCTGGGTTTTTCTGCATAAAACACCAGGCTTGCTATGAATACGAGCGTAATTTCTTGTCAGACTCTGCTCTTCTCATTGCATTGATCTTTTTAGGATTTTTGTCGTTGATGCGCTTTGCCTCCGCGGATTCGCACGCTTTCATTTCGTTTCTCTCTTTTGTTTCTTCGCTGACTCTAATCGTCTCTAGGTCATAACTTGTGGCCTAGAGGACCGGGATTTGATTTCCAAGTACCTCTGGGTTGTTTAGGTTGTCAATACCCACGTTCTTTTTCTCATTTTCTCAATGATGGCAAACTAAAATAGGTCACTCCATTGGGTCTAGGTTGAAGGCGGTTCGATAGACTGATTAAGCCAGAAGGAAGAGGATTCTCCGTAGGTTTGATTTATTTTTATTGCATTACTCATATGTTCACCGTTCACGTGATGTTATTACAAAATTTAAAAAAAAATAAAAAAATTCTTGAATTGAACAGTGAGCGTATCGACCAAAGGTCGAAGAGGACTTCAATTTAGCAGATATCTAAACAATAACGAACGTCATTAAAGAAAAGTAACCAAACAAGGTCAAAACAGTTGCAAAAATCGGCCAGACTGTTTTAGACTGTGAGTGTGGTATCTTTTTTTCAGGTCGAAAATCAGTAAATAGACTCAATTTATGAGAGCAATCAAAACTATGAAGTGAACAGTTTGCATAAGAACGTCAAAATATACTCCGACTTAACTCTATGTTGTCGATCAAATTGATTTTAGTACTTGTTGCATGCTGTGTGCTTCAGGCAAGGTACGACGCGGCTTTGTGCGCCAATGTGATTTCACGAGTGGGTTTTGGGACAGGGAGGCCGAAAATTTACGGTTTCAGACCCGACAGCGTGGCGTTGATCCGAGGCAGTGATCACCACACAGTGCACATATTCAGGCTTCTTTTCTCAACCCCTATACCCCTTTACAAGCTCGGGTTTTATAATTTATGACTAAAAATTAGGCAAAGTTCGAGCAAAACTAAGATCTGAAATTTTCAAACTGAATAGAACGGCGAATAAAGTTCCCGCTGTTCTTACCTTTGAGAAAAACATATGAGATTGAAAATTTGAAATTTTTTTGAAAAATATAATGGTTTGCGCCTAAAACAAAGATGAAAAATTTGAAAAAAAAAACAACAATGATTTCAGTGTCCATGTTCGTAACAACTTTTTAAAAATTGTCAATAATCATGTCAAAATAGTCGTATTTGAAGTCGGCAATCTTTTTTTTAAATAATGCAAATACTTCCCAAAAAGGGTGGAAAATTGCTAGACAAAAACAAAATACCGTCAACTTGCCATGTGTGTTTATCTAACATCAGGCGAAGTAATGGTCAACATGCATTGAATGGTAAATATGGTAACGATTGGAAATAAAGCTGGGAAAGAAGAGAAAAAGAGTCTTCTGCAGGCTCCAATTCATAATCGGTGATCTCAGTTATGATTGGTTCAAGCATACTATATTGTGCAGAGCTCATCCCTGGATTTGTGAAGAGCATCCATTAAGCCGAACAAGCAGATCTACAAAGTGATTGATCGCAACTACAATGATAAAGTCAAGAAAAACAAATACTTTTTGAAATTTATCAATTCTTGAAATTATCAGAAAAAAATTCAGTTTTTATTCAAGGCAACTTAAGATTCGAAATAAAAGTTGAAATTGATATCTCATATCACGCTCTCAGTTTTTGTCCGGATAGGTTTGTACAACTCCTTAGTATGAAACCAATCTTTAACTTTTTTTTGCTTGTGTCGATAGATTTTGAGGGTACCTGGAAGAAGACAGGTTATAACGAGATTAAGTTTTCTTCTGGCATCTTTAAAATTGGTCAAATTAATAAAAGTAAAATAACTTTACAGAAAATTATCATAGACTAGTAATGTAATAAAATTCGTTAGTAATAAATAAATTACAACCTAGGATCTTCTTAACAATCCCCCCCCCATTCAAGAAAGGGGGGAATTGTTAAGTAAATTACTTGCAGCGAAGTTTCGACCAATCAGAATGCAGCAAAATTTGAATTTACATATGGAAAAAAACGCGTTAGTGCGAATTTACTGTTTTTAATTACAGGGGTGGAGATTCTTAGGGTTAGTATAGAGCGTGAAGCGGAAGTTTGAATGTCTTGAAAAATGTTAAGAACTGGCTGATGCGTGGTTTCTAAATGACTTGTCTCTTCCGGATCGGACGGCACTGTTCGAAGTCGCATGGAAGTTAACGGTTTTCATTTCTTTGACATTAATGAGGTTGCTGTTGTTGTTGTTGTTGTTGTTGTTGTGGCTGTTGTTGTTGTTGTTGTTGTTGTTGTTGTTGTTGTTGTTGTTGTTGTTGTTGTTGTTGTTGATGATGTTGATGTTGTTGCTGTTTTTGTTTTTGTTGTTGTTGTTGTTGTTGTTGTTGTTGTTGTTGTTGTTGTTGTTGTTGTTGTTGTTGATGTTGTTGTTGTTGTTGTTGTTGTTGTTGTTGTTGTTGTTGTTGTTGTTGTTGTTGTTGTTGTTGTTGTTGTTGTTGTTGTTGTTGTTGTTGTTGTTGTTGTTGTTGTTGTTGTTGTCGTAGGGATAACTTTCACGCGGCGAGACCCGCATTTAAGAAAAATGGAAAAAATCAATTATAATGTATTTTCATGCTCTAAAAATTTTTAAATATAATCGATTCCAATGTTACGTTCAGAAAAAAATATTGGACTACAATTCAATTTAAGTCCATTTTTTTCGCAAAAAGATAATGCAATGTAGTTTCTTTGAAATCCATTATAATGGATTATACAATAAGTAGAAATCACATTAAAATGGATTTTTTCCTCTGAATTTTTGTTTTGCGTCGTGCAAAATTTTACAAGAACTTCTGCATTTATCAAATGAGTTATGCGGAAACTTAGCAAAGCGAGTGTACGGCCTTCTTCAACTCTAAACCTCAACTCAAATTGAAAAAAAAACTCCGTTAACCTAAACACAAAAAGCAAAAAGATTCCTTTAACTACTACCCCCTTGCGAAAAGATTCCGAAAAGACTCCTTTGCTTGCCCCTCCTCCCACATCTGAACCACCCTCCCTTGCACCGGAACGACCCTACCCTCCACCCCACCCATCTGACTACTTGAGACACCCCCCCCCCCACCTGAAATACCCCATCCTGCCACTTGAACCACCCCGCGTACCTGAACCAGCCCTCCACCTCAACTAATAACCCCTACCCCCAAGTTAGTCCAACTTTACCCCCCCCCTTCTCGAAAAAAACTTCTAATAATTTGACAAAAAGATTGAAAGAAACCAAATTCAGTTATTGAATAACATTAAAAAAGAACAAAAATATCATATGTGCGTAGAAAAAAGGTTAAAAAGATTGATTACTATTGAGTTTCATTGTTAGTGTCCACAAAAGTGAAAAAAAAATTTCATAATGGATTAAAAATGTATTTTGTTGCCTCGAAAAATATTTAATCTTATAATCGATTTTTAATTGCTTATAATCAATTCTTTTTAAACTTCTGTGGACAATGACAATCAAACTCAGTTATAATCAATTTTTGCATGGAACTCCTATATTCATAAAGTATCATCTAAGCATATGAATCATAATATTGGGAAAAACATAACATCCGGAAAAAAACAGTGGTACGTGTAATTTCGCTAAACTAACAAAACATTTTGGATCTTTTGCAGTCTCTTTTTGCCTCTTGATGCATTGATGATATGCGTACGTGTCAGCAGGCAATGAGGTTCCATGGATAACAATTTAGTTTAATAGATAAATAATTGATTACCAATCAAAACCCAAAAGAAGCCATTTTACACCAAATTAATCGATTAAAATGGATCATGATAAAGAATAAAAACAGGAGCGCATCTAAGATTTTCTCGAGGAGACAGCAGATTCTCAAAACTTTTTCTAAATTGTTGTTTCGACCTTTCTTTGGTCGACAAATTGGTTTCCCCATGACTTCCACAACACTATACAGACCCGCAAAAAAGTTGAGTTTTTTCTGCAATTGCTCTTCTTCAAATGTATTATATAGTGGCGCCAAAGGCAACCTTCGAAAAATTTAAGGGCCAGTCGGCCAAAAAATGGTTTCTTAAATGAGTTGTATAGTTCTGTGTTTGATGCACAGTCTGAAAAACGTCAAGTTTTTATATGTTGCACTCGAATATGTATGCCACGTCTGAAAACGACAAAAAAAATGATCAACTCACAATAATGACAGGTGTGACTTAACTTGAAAAACTTGTGAACACAAAAATCTGTAACTGGGAGTTTTGTTCTTGAAAGAAGGAAACCAATTGAATGGAAAAACTTGTAATTTTGCCCTGGAGTATTTTGCAATCGTGTTTTAATTGGTTATGGTTTTTACCGGTTTTCTTAGAACTTAACGTCCTCATTGCGTAAAAAGTTCGGGTAACTGAAATAACGAAAAAAAAAATGTCTATACCTAGTATCAGGGAGACATATACAGTTATCTACAGCTCTGATATTCTTTTTTTTCTGATACCTGAAAACAGAAATTTAAAATTATCTCTTTCTTTAGTAATTTGAGATTAAGATAGCAATAGAAATTTATCACAGCAGAGTTAAAAACACTACAACGTCATTCGACAGCTCATCAACGGCATCAACAACACCGTACGATACAAATCACATAGTTTTTAACGACAGAATTCCTAGGAGTGTAACCAAGACAGTGCAATTGTTTAATTGAACGACTGGAACGACCCCTCAGCCGAATCGCAAAATCCATTGCATAAAAAGAAACGGACTTTGAATCAGCAGAATTCGAACAGAAACTTCTTCACTTCTGAAGCATCTGGTCTCATCCACCATCCGAAAGGGGACTCACAGCCAGTGTTGACACCATATCAACACTCACTGGATTTGAAGACAAATTAGATGACCTCGTCAGCGAGTTCAGAAGACTACCCCTATGAAACAGCATTGCAACCTAGACAACTTCTGTAGCAAACAATAGCGCCCAACCCAACGATAAAAAGCACCCAATCTTCAAATTGCTTCTAGTAGTCGAAGCGCGCTTAACGCTTTCACGCTAACTCGACGAACCTGGACAGAAAAGCAACAACCTTCATTTTCAGCAGGCAAATGTCTACATCAATCGACAACAATCACATTTTGCCAAACAATCAACAGCAACATGCAACAGCTATTCTGCCATCGATTAGTTTTGCTGCATTACCGTTTCCTCTGACCAATTTCACGCCTCAGACTCACATCATCACAGTAGCCTAAAACGCTCTTGTTTCATCTTCAACAATTACTCAGACATCACGACTACTAAAGATCAGACTGGACAAGCTCACAGTCAACCAAACTACGACGCCGAAAAGTAGCATCAAGCTATCGCCTGATTTTAATGCAACAGCCATATGTGTGCAACTGCTTTTCACGAACTAGAACTACGATCTGGAAGGCCAGGCATAAGTGTCAACCACTACATCAACAGACTACAGCAACTCTCCACGCCTTCGACACAATTTAATCAACCTTTTATGAAATTTCATTTTTCATTTGCAATCTTGTGGAAGCTTTTCAGACATTTGGTTTCACGAATAACCTCAACTACACCATTAACGTGCAGCTTGCAGCCCACAAACTTCACCAATCTGAGCAACTTTTGTGAACTACTTTAGTAGTATTAAAGTCCCCCGCATTTGTAAAGTGAAAATTCACATTGGCTCTCCTGGGTTGGCTTTCCTTATCGTGCGATTAACGTTATTTAGACTCAGCAACAACGGGTGTTGGAGTAAAAAATCACAAAAACCACGACAATGATTGCTTCATCCTAGCATCAACAGAAGGGTTCTTCAAAACAAGAACTGACGATGTGATTCTGCTAGGAGCTGAACAAGGAAGTGTGAGGTTTTTCGAAACGAAGCATCCGAGGAAAGAACTGGAGAACCAACTTGGTGCAGTCATTCATGGCTGGACGTTCATGAAGTTGGATATAGCGATATAACCGAGGAAGTAGCAGTTATCGTCTTCGAGAAATTGTTCAGACACATGTTAACTAGTCTCAGCTCGCTGAAGAGAAAATCAGAAATCAGAGTAGATTATCAAAGTGTTGTATTCATTCAGATGTTAGTTCGGTGCCATTGCTGGAATAGACCGGTCCTCTTTTGAATGAAAGCAGAACGTGGCAGAGTATGGCTCATTCCGAGGATCACGAGTGACGGCAGAAGAAGTTGGTCCACCAAGATTTCAATGGGCTGACTAGAGGTGTGACTTCGTTTGGGGAAAATCAACTCGATATCCGAAGGTTTGGTTAAGCTCCTCGTGTACGTTGCCACTTTCCGGAAATTCAATTGAAAATGAAAAGAACCTTCAACTGAAAATATAGAAAAAATGACGCAGTTGGATACATCAAGGCGAATGTCGGGTTTTGAAGGTTCGAGGAGGTGTTCAGAATAACCGTTGTCGCAACTACGTGCTTGACTCTGATGTGGTGGTCCTTGTTACTCAGGAACTCAAACAATATTATGGTCTACTTGTGGTCGATAAGAAAACATCAATCTTCCACGAGACTGATGCTATGTGAAATTAGCGAGCGTATTGACGATCGTGCCGGAGGAACTAACGGTTGGGATG